CCCCCCCCCCCCCCCCCGTGGTGAAGTCAGCTCCAATTCATTTATTACAAGCTGTAAACAAAACACATTCAACACAAAGAGCTTCACCGAGCGATGCGGATCGATCAGAACAAGAGGAAGAAAACACATCACACTGTGCACTTCTCCTCCTCCTCCTCCTCCTCCGCCTCTCGCCCTCTCTCCTCGGCCCTCTCTCCTTCCCTCCGGGCGGTTCATCCATCCTGCCCACTCGGAGACAGAAATAGACTGATGGAGAGCAGGAGAGCTCTGCTGGGAGATGACCACTGGACACGCTCACACTATATCCTAAACACACTCGGTGGCAGGGACTCGCACACACACCCCACACATGCTGCACGCTGCTAAAGACACCCTCACACTGCCGTTTGCTCCTCTCCAGTGATTCACAGCAAGTTTTCCTGATTTATAATTCAACTCTGTTACTTTACACTCACAGCTTCCAGTTTATTAAGCACACCAGGCTCCTGAGTGTGATGAAGGGAAAATTTACTGCAGGGCCGTCGTGTCGGACTGCACCAGTTTCAGCCAGATGAACCTAATCACACACCGGCCGTGTCGCAGAGCAAGGCATCTGGCAGCAGCAGCAGTGTCATCATTTATCAATCCGCTGATCATCTTCTCCATTAATCAAACTATTAGTCTATTAAATAAGTGAAAATGTTGACCACGATTGTCAAAAACCCCAAATATGATATGTATCAAAAAAAGCAAGTGATTGCATTTGAGAAGCTGACACCAGAAAAAAGTCATGTAGCTGACTAATCATTTCATCTCTGGAAGTGCTTGATTGATGGCTGTAACATTCCAGTAACTTTGCCCAAAGTCTGCCTCCACATCCGGCTGCAGTGCCTCAGACCTGGTGTGTCCACAGCAGTGTGAACAGACCAGATCTGGGCCACCTGTGTATGTGCTCCTAGACCCGATTCCTAAACATGGAGGACAGCGACGACAGCGACAGGGTTTGTAGAGGTGTGCAGGACTGCAGAGTTTACATGTAACAGCATCGGTGACACGATCTGATATTAACTTGGTTTTGTCTGAATCTAAGACAAACATGAACTGAATAAGCTGCGGCTGTAGTTTATGAAGTGTGAGCTACCTGAGGCCAAAGGTCGGACATCTGGCATCTACATTTAAAGAGCACACTCTGGTGTGAACACAGACTTGTCCCTAAAATCAACCAAACCACCAGTTAATCATCCGACTGTGGAGAGAAAACGGGGGCGACGTCAGTGTGTGTCGACGCAGCGCCTCCTGACTTTCTTGTCTCATCTCTTCCACCTCTCACTGTGTCTCCGTGATCAGAAACACATGTGGGAAAGCACACACACACACACACACACTGGGAGGAATGTGGAGGAGTGCAGGTCATCTGGAGCCGAACCAACATCATCTACAGGAAAACAAACTGTGCTTTCTGCTCAGACTGAAACACAAACTGCTTCATCTTCTCCTTCACCTCAACCCAACACCTCAGGCTTCAGCTGCACATGAGGTTTAAACATGAGGTTTCTGGTCATTTTCAGAGGAAGTTCTACTGATCTAAGAAACAGAAAACTGGACAAACAAAGTCTTAATATGCTGAAACTCTCGAGCTCCTGCCAACAGCAGATGGATAATCCGGTGCGTAGCACTGAGACTGTGAGCAGAACCTGAGCAGATTCCACAACACAGCGAGTCAAAGATCAAACTGTTACTGCAGATACAACATGAAGCCACTTAGGCTTATAAGGTCAATAAGGTCAATAAGCCTGCGCAGCAGCGAGCAGCCCCACGATGCTCCAACATTCCTCTGTCTTACCCCAGATCTGCTGCAGCTCTGATAAATACAACTGGTCACACGGGTCATTGGGCTGGGATTCAGACCCATCCTGCCCGGCACGAAAACAGCACAGCACCCAAAAGACTTGGACGTCAAAACACTGCACAACAATGCACAATTCTTACAGACTCTCTGGAAAGCTGTTACAGTGGGATTAATGGTGTGTTTGGTTGGAACCAGTGCAAGGAAAATGACAGAAACACAGAGTAAACCAACAGGACGCCGTCCACTGACAGTGGCGTACCGTAACGTGTGCGGGTGCAGACCCCGGTTTAGCCCCAGCTTTTGACTCTTATGTTCTACATGAACTCGGGTCACTGAGACCATCTTCTGTGAATTGAAGCTTTCGGAACGTTTAACCCCGTACCGTCATCTCATACCACTCACTCTAATTTCAAAGGTATTTCCTGAATCTCATCGACTCATCTAACGATATGGAAATAAAAATAATTCGGTCCAGTCCAGGAAGAATCGGATTTTTGTCCGTTTTTCAGGTGAAAGTTTGCTTTTCAGAAAAGTACATATGGCAACAGAGAACGTCATCGCTCCTGCTTTTTTGTAAAAGCCTATTATGTACGTTCATTGGACGAGCTGCTTTCAGGCAAAGCCAGAGTGATGATGTCATTTCCTGTCACCATCTTTGCTTATACAAGACAAATGTACTGGGAGAATTTGGGTGAGTGTTATGACCCGACAGTACAAGGTTAAAATGGTCAGCAAGTTTCAATTTCACACCGTGACCAGACACAAAGTTCACTGTTGGTTGTTGTATAAAATGTTTTGAAAATAACAAAAACCAGAAAATAACCGGACTTGTCCTTAGAGACACGTGTGGTTGGACGGTTGCTGACACTGCAGAGTTGTTTCTCTCTGCAGTGACTTATGGATGGATGAAGATCTCCTATTGGGACAAACAGCTGTTCAACGTCCCTGAACACTTCACTTACATCCACGGAGCCGAGTGACTGTGATGACGTCATGTACGTGAGTGTGTTGCATGTGTCGTGTCGAATGCACAAGAAGACAAAGCCATGGTAAGAGCGGCCACCTTGTCCCTGAAAAATGAGGTAAACGGATAAAGTCATTGTTGAAGAACAGAAGTGATTTGTTTGTTTTACCTTGGTGTTACTGACGATGAATTTCAGTTCACTGTCTGCAGGAGCTGATGGTGAGTTGCCTTTTTAACAATGAGACTTTTATTTTGGTGAGATGTGAACAGAAAAAGCACAGCAGCTAAGAGCAAACTGTATCGCTCATGATCGGACATGGCTGGTATTTAGTCAAATGTTCGCTTATTGAAGTTATAAACCAATGAATCCATCATAAAACCTGTTTTAAAACAGAATCACTCCATCCTAAACATCTTCATCCACAACCTCGGGGTCCGCTTGTGAAGGTGAGACTAAACTGTGATGACTCAACGACACAATATAATGAAATAACAACTTCAGGTTCCAGACACAGTCAGTCTGAACTTCTAGCAGATGACCTCTGTGC